GGTTTAGGGTTTAGGGTTTATTGCTGACGCTGCGGCCTTGGCAGTTTTGTGCTTTCCGTCTTATCAGGGACTCTCTATATGTCCTGGCAATGCTATGTGTTCCCGGGAATCACAATACTTTGCCCCACAATGATCTTTCTGATCACAGCCTTCACTTTTTCTCAACATCATGGCCAAGCTGCCCAAGGCAATGCATCAACACCATCATGTCATGGGCAGACAAGCAATAACGCCGTCGTCATGCTCAAAACCGTTATCAGTGGCAACATTATCATCATGACCATCTTCCACAACATCCGCATCTTCGTCACCATCCTCATCCTCATCATCACCGTCAACAGCAACGAAGTACTCACCATCCACATCTTGGTCACCGCCTGTTGCACAATCGTCATCGTCTCCATCGTCGTCGTCAACATCAGGCGCGTGAGCTTTGGACCTGCCATCCTGAGACTACTACAGCGGCGCTTCAAGCCATGAAGCCTTGAAGTGCCTCAGCTAGCTCAGTATCTGCCATAGCCACAAGGACCCGTAACAGTGCCGTTGGCTGACTTTGCACGGCTCATGTTCCGAAAAAGCGGGCCGCGTCATGCATGCTCAATCGAACTGCTATGTGCAGCTGTATCTTAAAGAATCGCCAGTGTCTTGGGGCAAGTGGTGACCCTTCGGACTTCGCACATCCAGATTCCGGAAACACGGAATGTTTATCTGAGACGTGGCGACTTCGGTCAGCACGCCGTCGAACTTATGTCGTTGTTCTGTGCCCGTTTTGCTCCTGCGCGCTGCCACCGGGCCATAGCAACAGCAACGAAAAAACGCACTTCCCAACACTGCACCCGAGTCCCGAAACAGCGCGTGTCAAAATCGTGAACACTCAACCCTCTGCCCTACCCTAAGCCCTTATAACTCCTAAACTTTGTTAAACCAGCTTGTGTCTTGCGCCCGGCGTTTAAGGCACTCCTCTTTACCAATTCCGTGTGGGACAGCCTCGCATTCAGCAGAGCAAAGAGACGACGCTGTTTGTAAGAACCCAAAACCCTAAATCCAAGTTCCTTTGGATTGTTGCAGTTAGGGTTTAGGGTTTAGGGTTTAGGGTTTAGGGGTTTAGGGTTTAGGGTTTGCAGCCCTCCAGTCTGAAGCCCTCAACCCTAAACCCTAAACCCTGTTTAGGGTTTAGGGTTTAGGGTGTAAGAGGAGGAGAATCATCTGAGTTCGAAGACCCAGAAAAACACTCCGTCAATCCCGACAAGCCCTGAACTGGTTCCCTATTGGGGCTATATTAAGTATGATCACCTATTATAACGAAAAATGTAACCTTGTATCCAACAAGGACCCAGTGAAACCTATCCAAAAATCCCATGCACACCCCCAAAAAAACGGAAACCTTAGAGGATTAGAGGACCCTCATGGATCCTTTCGAAGCAAGCGTTTTAGGCTTCCAAGGAACTTCGAACCCCAAAACATAGAGGAGGAGAGTATTATCGTAAATATATCCCTGTATACTTTTGCTCAGCGGTTTAGGGTTCAGGGTTTAGGGTTTAGGGTTTAGGGTTTAGGTTTAGGGTTTAGGGTCAGAGATATACTATGCGAGACCCTCTCTAGTCAGTAAGGCCCCCAAACTGAACACCTCGATCATCTCTATGAAACAACCTATCAGGCGCCAGAAGTCGCCAGACCCCCGCCCGAAACCCCAAGCACGAACCAGAACCGCCCAAGCACCTCTTATTCTTATTAGGGTTTAGGGTTTAGGGTTTAGGGTTTAGGGTTTAGGGTTTAGGGTTTAGGAGGGTAGTTGGGGAGTGCTGGAAGGCAACAACACCGAGAGGGACGTCCCTCAAGAGCTTTAATTACGGCTGCACGGCCGGAGTCCTCCGACACTCCAATATCACTTGCTACCCAAGGTTAAACCCGAAACGGTTTAGGGTTTAGGGTTTAGGGTTTAGGGTTTAGGGTTTAGGGTTTAGGGTTTAGGTTTTTTTTTAAAGCACCTTTTTCCTCCCGCTGTTAGCTGTCGGAAAGCCTCTGAAGGCAGGTGAGTAAAAAAAACCCTCAGTTGATGTAGTTCACCAGGTCGCCCTTCCCGAAGTCACTTCTCATCGTAGTTCGGCCCTTCAACCCTTTGATCCCTCCAGTTCATCCCCGAGGATCCCTGCTGACTGTCTTCCACCATGTCGTCTGTGTCATAGTCCCCCATCCATTGTGCAAGGAAGCTTGTCAGGGTGAGCATTGCATGCCCGATGTCGATGCACGTTTGTATGTGCTCCTCTGGAACTTGATCCTCGCTTTGCTGCTCCTTTTCGGACACGATGCGTAGACGAAACAGCATGGCAAGCACCCAGCGAGTCTCATGAGAGCCTTCACGATAAGCCATGCCCCAGGATCCAGAACCGAGGTTGAACTCGTCATGCTCGCTTGACTGGACCTCGCGCAGCTGAGTACCCAGCCTGCCAAGCTCTGACTTCAATTTGGCCACCTCGTTCTCTTGATGCGATGAGGCGGAAGACGATGACGGCAGCAGTGAGAAGGAAGAGGCCTCTTCAGCAGACTGCCCGGCTTCTGGGGATTCGTTCTGACTCGCCTTCTGGTACGCTGCATGCTGAATGGAGGGCGGCTTCGGGGGCGAAGGAGGCACCTTCCTCTCGGCGGCGTGCAGTTTGGCACGGAGCCGGGCCACCTCCTGCTGCGACGCTTGCAACTTGGTGAGCAGCCCTTTGTTCAAAGCCATCGAGAGCTCGTTCTTGGCCAACAGATGCCTCTTATCCGCTTTCAGCTGCTCGACTTCGGGCAGCACTGCCCGTAGCAACTTCTCTGCAACATCCAAGTTCCACTTCAGGGCTTTGCTCCTTGGCTCAGTCTCTTGACACCATGCGCCAGGATAGTCTTCCCATTTCGCAAGGTTGTGCTCCACAGCTCCGTTTGAGACAAAACCATCGCCACAGCAAGGGAATTGCATATTGCACACACCCATGTGGAGATGATTGTGTGCCTCGTTCGACATCCTCGACCCGCACAACGCAAACGGCATCATGTCAGGCGAACAGATGTCCGGTGCACAATCTTCTGCGTACAATGTAAGCTA